AAATCCTCTTCTTCCGGGTCTTCTACCCCCATTGAGTCATCGACTCAAAAGGCAATCCAAATTGTTGAGTCATCAACACAACAATCTGGAACTCCAAAAGAATCTTCCAAAAAGACTGATTCTATTGTTAAAACCACAAAACAAACCAAAGAAGATTATGCTCTCCCAATAAGTACACTCTTAGCTGTCCAACAAGGAAGTCTAAGTAGCCTACCTAAAAAATCGTGGGCTGACATCGCCTCTAAAGAAGATATGGAAATAGATTTAGCAAGCCTAAATACAATACTCCAGTCTTTCAATCAAACCCAGAAAACAATAGCCAATCCAAGTAAAACAGAAGGGACCCTTGACCTTCAAAAGGGAAAACAAAAATCTACAAATCCAAACCATTATGTAGCCAAAGGAAAATTTTTCTCAGTCATACAAATGGAACCCGAATTTTGGGACAAGAACCCATACAAAGCTATTACCAAAGTCTTCCCACCTGTATTTCATTTTAGACCATATGCGGAAAATAAAACCAGGCAATTCTATGAGTTCATCTTAGTGGATTAAGATTCTGTCTCCATCAAACACTACAAAGACCAAAAAGATCCTTCAATCACAAATCATTCTACAATCCAAATCCTGAAAGTCTTAACTCCAAAGGCCTTTGGAAAAAATCTGAACTCTTATAAAAAGTTTTCCCAACCTTTTGACCCAGTAGGATATAATTACTGGGATTACATAGATGCATGGACAAGAACTTTCTGGTTCCAAAATAAGCTTAACCGACATTCTTGGTTAATATATTTTAAGAAGAATCAGAATTATGATTTTCCAAATTGGTTTTTACAATGGTGGGACTATTTTGGACCAATTGAAGAAATCTTTCCCACACCTGTCAAAGAAGGATACAAAATTTACAAGAGCAGATATCTGCGAGAATCAAAAATTCCAGCAGACCTCAAATATTTCTCTGACTTTGCCTTAGCATGGGTATTCTCATGGCAATATAGATATGGCAAAACAGAAAATGAAGACACTCTCCCTTTATTGCACAGGTATTCCTTTGTAAAATGGTGGAATCAATTCAATGCCGACCATGTTAGTCCAGAAGGAGTTGCTGAATATTTTGGAAAAAAACCAAAATTATTAAATTTAGCAGACCCAGCAACATTTCAATTTCTTAACCAGAAATCTAAAATTGCAGCATTTCTATCAGGATGCGATACCAAAGAAAAAATGAAGAAAAATCTACAAGATGTTCTTCTGCTCTTGCAAAGCCAAGAAGAAGGAGAATCTTCTACAAAACAAGATACCAATATTGAAGAAATGTATCAAAATGAAGATGATTGTTTCGGCATCGACATCCAAGAACTTTAAAAACCGGTACTGTAGAAAATAGTTCCAGTAACCAACCGGAACTGTAGAAATAGTAAAAAAAAAATTCTATATAAGGAGGCCTCGACTATATTGTGAGGTACCCTTTCATTTAGCAAGTTAAGAGAGATTTAAGAGAGAGAAGCTCTGAGAAATAATCCCTTGTAAGCCTTCTTCTTTGAGATCTTTCAATAAAAAGTTTGTTGTTTCAAACTATTTTTCTCTCTTCTCCCTCTTAGCCGGTTCTGTTCAGACTACCGTCGTCCGGCTTTCTTCTCTTCTCCCCTCACTAGATCTGTGTTTGTTCTACCACCGTTCTAGTTTCTTATGTTTTAATCTTATAATTTACATACTGCACTTTTAATTTCTGCATTTCATTTAGTAGTCCTGCTACTGCCTACTTTCCTTTCAGTCTGTTAATTTCCTTGTTGGTGAATCAAAATTTAAATTTTATTTTAATAAATATTTATATTTAATGTTATTGTAAATTATTGAGATAAAATTTAAATTTTGTTTTGTAAACAGTACTAATAACATTTAGGAACTGCACCTAAGTTTTATTCATAAGAAAAATGTTGACTTGAACTTTAAGGAATAAGGATAAGTAACTAAAGTAATAACTTTTTATCAAAAAAAAAATATTTAGGCTGAATTTGAATAAACTTTTGAATAAGTTTTATAGAAAAATAATATAAAAATAGATATTTTTTTAAAAATTTAAATAATTTATCTTCTAAAATTTTAGAGAATTAAATGAGAGAGTTTGTAAAAAAAAAAATAGAGAAATATTATTATTTTTTTAACTTGTAACAAAATTTTTATTCCATTTTATTCAATTTTTTTAATGAAAGTTTTCAGATTGCACCCATTTGAAAAAATTTATGATTATTTTTTTAACTCTCATAAGCTCTTTTTAATTTATTTTAATAAGTTTATTGATATAACTTATTAAAACAAGTTACTTTTAATTATTTTAATAAATTTAATTAATATTTATATTATAAATAAGAATGTTATATTAAAAAATCAAATATTCGATAGAACTATTCTCTTTCATAGTTAATCACATATATTTTTCAGAATTAAATTAACTAATAATGATGTGTGAATTTATATTTTTTTTTATTATTGGTTTAATTTTTAAATAATTTTTTTATTATCTTATATATATTCATAGATTTTTATAAATATTTATGGTTATATTTTTTAAAATTCTTTATTGGTTATAGCATTAAGTTAAAATATTTTTTAAGAAATTATTGTTAAAAATAATTTTATCATATATATATATATAAATAAAATAATTATTTAAAAGACTTATAAATTTTTTAATTATTAAAATATATATTATATTAAAATAAAATACTTATTCATTACTGGGTCATAATATAAATTATTACTCTTAAAAAGAGCTATTAAATAAGTTAAATAAGCCTTTATTCTAATAAGTTCTTATATCTTAAAAATGTGACGGTATAATAAATATTATTTTAATAAAAATTTAGTATTTTATATGCTTAAACCCAACTTAAATAAATAAAAAAATTAATATGAAAATATTTATCATAATTTAATTACATTTTTAAATAATAAATTAGGTTTGGTTATAAAGAGACTTGAAAAATATTAGATAAAATTAATTTTTTTGTCCTTTAATTTTAGAATAAAATTTGTTTTCTTTTTCTAATTTTTTATTCATTTTAGTTCTCTAACTTTTAAAAAAATTTCAAATAGATTCTTTATTGTTAAAAACCTTAACTCCCTTTAAAAATTTTGTAATTTTGTACAATGTGTATTGTGCGTTGTTCATTGTTTTCTTCCTAAAATCATCTTGTTTCTAACACATTCTCTTCTTTCTTCTTCTTTACATCTTCATCTTCTACTCAAAACTATATCTTCTTCCCATTAATATTAAGCACTCATTCTCAAATCTCAAACCATAAATAACTTAACTTTTGAATATCAATTTTTTATCTTTGGTGATCTGAACACATGTTCTTATTTTTTATTTTATTAATTTTTCATGCTACTATAACCTTTCAAGCCTTCATTAATAAGAATTTTGTGTTCCAAAAGCTTAAAACATAGTCTAAAAATAAGCAGAGACTTGCAAAAATGAGTTTTTAGAAAGTTGATTTGTTTATGGTTTAAGATTTAAGATTTAGGGTGGGTGCTTAGTATTAGTGGCAAAAAAATAGAGTTTTGAGTATAAGAAGATAAAGATAAAATAGAGAAAAAAAAAAACTAGAAACAAGATAAGAGATATGAGGAATAAGGCGATAAATAATAATGCATATTACACATGACATAAAACGATAAAACTTTTCTTTTAACAAAAAAAACCTATTTAAAATTTTTGTAAAAATTAATAAACTAAAATAAATAAATAAAATATTAGAAGACGAAAGTAAATTTTATTCTAAATTTAAATAATGAAAAGAGTAATTTTATTAAAATATTAATAATATATTCTTTAACATAATTTTTGATATATTTTATATTATTAGTTAAATAAGAATCATAAAACTACAAAAATTTTACTTTTAATTTCATAAGTTCTATTCGTAATTTTATAATTATTATTAAAGAGTAAATTGTGGTCAATAGGCTTTTATTACAGGGAAACAAGAAACGACATGTTCTTGAGTAGAAATTAATTTTGACAGATTCATGTTTTTAAAATTAAATTTGGTGTATTTTGAGAGTAAGTTCAGGTTATTTCAACTCCACTTGTCTTTTGAAATTTATTATTTTTTTAAGTAATTATATATTAGTGATAAGATTTCAAGAGTTAATAAATAATATTTAACAAATTATTATACTATATTATTATTGATATTATTTATTTTAAAATTTACATATTATAAAATATTTTAATTTTATATTTATTATTCTTTTTATTTATTGTGATAAGTAAAAAAAGTATAAATAATATAATATATTTTTATAATAAATTTTAAAATAAATTTTATCATATTTAAAAAACTTACTTTTTTTATTATATTAGATTCTTTTGAGATAAAATTATATATTTTTTTATTTAATTTTATAATATAAAAAATTGTTTCATTTTTAAAAAGCTTAAGACATAAAAAATTAAATAAGTAGTCGAACAATTTCCTTATAAAAAGTGTATTTGATGGCAAGGAAAGAATGAAATTTATCCACTAAAATTATCGTATTCCAAGAATGCATTACCCTACGTCTTACTAGGATTTCGAACATGACGGTCATGTTTACATGTTTTTTAACTTTCGTTTAAGCGAAATTTTTACTTACTTAAACAAATGTTAAAAAACATGCGAATATGACCGTCATGTTCGAAATTAAACATGAGGGGATCCAAATCCTCCTACGTCTCCCAACTCAGAAATTAGTCCATTTTACCCCTCTTCATTTCAATTAATATATTATTTTATAAATTAAATTAACATAATTTGTTTAAACTTTATCAAATATTTATTAAATTAAATTTAAATATATATAAAAAAAATTATTTATTAAAATTTTGAGTAAAATAAAAATAAACATGTCACATGCAACATGTACAAGTGAAGTGTACCTTATTTCGATTTTCAGCTTTAATAACTGGTAACGGGTGAACATAATAACCCAGGTTGACCATGCGTTATTCAATCATGCTCTCTACTGTGACTTGTAACTAAATATTTTCATTACATTTTCCTTGCCAACAACACGCCACATTTTTCTCCTCTCCTTCTCTCTTTTTTACTTCCTTTCATTTCCATGACTCGCCTCAGGCGACTCAGCACTGCTGTCGGAGCTGTTTTAGCCACCGCATATGGTGGAACCATCCTTCTCTCTCCTCCGGTCTCCGCCAGTGACCACGGAGGAGGATCGCACCTCGCCGCTGTCCGCCAGAAGATCCACGATCCCTTCGCGGTCTTACCCTCTAGAGAGGTCCAGCAGTCGTCGCTGATCGGTGCTAGCTCGGCGAATCCTCTCGACATTCTGGTCATCGGCGGTGGCGCCACCGGCTCCGGTGTGGCTCTCGACGCTGTCTCGCGCGGCCTCCGCGTTGGTCTAGTAGAAAGAGAGGATTTCTCTTCCGGAACTTCCTCACGCTCCACCAAGCTCATACATGGAGGTACAAGTGTGCTTGCTCTTAACAATCAAAATTGGCCTCATTCATTTTTTTCCCCCTATTTTAAGTTACATTTTTAAATTGAATAATTTTAAATCCTGTTACTTCTATTATTATTAATCATCTTGTTAAATAAAGAAAATATTAAATGCTTTATATTTTAAAATAGTAAATATACCTTCTTAAATTTGAGTTTAAACAGCATATACCAGTAAAATTTTATTAGAATTATAATTATTTATTACACTTCTATATCTTAACTATAATAAATACTTTTTTAATAAAATTTTATTATTATTAATTTATTAACACAAATTTTAAAGTTAAGGATTACAAAGTTGATAAGAACATGTTTTTTGTCACACCCACAACTCTACTGTGACTTTAATTTAATTTAAGGTTTTGTTAAGTATAAGCATCTATAAATAGAAACTTTTTATAGAAAAAGATTTATATTTATTATATTAAAGTTATAAAATTACCATAAATATTTTTTTAATTAAATTTTATTGTTATTAGTTGTTTATCATGTTAATAATTTTTTTAATTTTTTTATTTTTAAATATTCTTATTATTGATGTAGTTATAAGAAACTCACCTAAATATTTTGCAACAAAAACTAAAAGGATGTGAAATTGATTAAACTAAAAAACTATAACTGTACATATATTTTGGGACTCAAAATTTACAGGCAGAAATCAAAGAAGGAGCACTGTTTCCATGATTTGAAGGTTGTGAAGTTTTCTTTGATATAAATTTTTTTAAAAATTGACAAAGCCAATCTTCATCCTAACACTGTAGAATGTAGATATTGATTGTGCAGAGATTTTCAGTCCTACAGGGATATGCTAGTCATTTTGTGTTTTCATTTTGTCTCTTTTTTTTATAAATACTAAGTACTTGTTAGTCTAATATTTCAGTGTTTGAATAAACTCTTAGGTGTCCGATACTTGGAGAAAGCTGTCTTTAAACTTGACTATGGCCAGCTGAAGTTAGTATTCCATGCACTTGAGGAGCGTAAACAGGTTATTGACAATGCACCACACCTATGTCATGCTTTGCCTTGTATGACTCCATGTTTTGACTGGCTTGAAGTAGTGTACTACTGGCTTGGCTTGAAAATGTATGATTTAGTCGCAGGAGCACGGCTCTTGCATTTATCAAGATATTATTCTGCAAAAGAGTCTGTTGAGCTCTTTCCCACTCTGGCAAGGGAGGGAAAAGGTAGAAGCCTGAGGGGCACAGTTGTTTATTATGATGGGCAGATGAATGATGCACGGCTTAATGTTGGGTTGGCTTGCACGGCGGCATTAGCTGGTGCAGCAGTGCTGAACCATGCTGAAGTTGTGTCCCTACTGAAGGATGATACTGGTGAACGGATAACTGGTGCGCGAATTAGGGACAATTTAACTGGTAATACTTTATTTTATTTCTATCAGTTACTGTAAATATCTATGGCTTACATTTTTTACTTTTTTAGATTATCTGAAATGGTAAGTTGGCAAGTTTATTTAAGATATTATATTCAATCATTTAAGGGCTCTAGAACATTGTAAGGAACAAACACATAATCTCAAGAATCATTTTGTTGGAAGTCAATCCTTTATACATGTGCTGCCTGTTTGTGACTTTTAAGTTTAAAAATTAATTTCTTTTAACGGTTCAATAGCTAATTATTTCAATTTATTATTTTGCATGTTGCAGGCAAAGAGTTTGATACATATGCAAAAGTAATTGTGAATGCAGCTGGGCCATTTTGTGATTCTGTAAGGAAAATGGCTGACAAAAATGCACGAGATATGATTTCTCCAAGCAGTGGTGTACATATAATACTGCCCGATTATTATTCTCCAGAGGGAATGGGCTTAATTGTTCCTAAAACTAAGGATGGGCGTGTCGTTTTCATGCTACCATGGTTGGGACGAACAGTTGCTGGAACTACAGATTCCAACACTACCATTACTTTTCTTCCAGAACCGCATGAAGATGAAATACAATTTATATTGGATGCCATATCTGATTACCTCAATGTTAAAGTAAGATATACCTGCCAATACAGGCAACTATTTACCTCACTATTTTTCCTTCTCTTTCTTATGTTAGATAAGGAAATTAAATGATCCCATGCTTTTATTACTTGTTTCAAAATATTTTAGATAATCTTAGGCAAAAAAACAAGACAGTAAGTTGCATTGTATCATATATCTGTTAGAACCTTTGCTATAGAATTCAATCTTTACATTTGTAGGAAGCCCTGCTCCGACCCCTCTTTTTTAATTAACTAAGACTCTGTACTTGGAATTCTTTGATTAAATCCAAGGAAAATAACGAATTAGCTGTCTCTCAATCTAGATGTTCTTTTACTATATCCCTTTCTCCTTTTTTCACAGTCTATCAAGGACTAAATAATGCTTCAAAAATTTAGGTTCGACGCACTGACGTTCTTTCGGCCTGGAGTGGCATTCGCCCATTAGCAATGGACCCATCAGCTAAAAATACGGAGAGTATCTCCAGGGATCATGTTGTCTTTGAGGATCACCCTGGTTTGGTCACCATCACTGGTGGCAAGTGGACTACCTACCGGAGGTAATTATTTAATGGCCGAAGCTGAAAGTTATTAGGACGTTATTTCTCCAACTAGGCCTTTCATTGATCATTTTAACAATTCAGTTAGTTGGTTTAACTAGTATTTAATTATTTTTCAGCTTATCGTGCTTCATTCATTTTTGCCTTATCTTCTCATTGTTCCATTCTAATGAGTTTCAGCATGGCAGAAGATGCTGTCAATACAGCTATAAAGTCTGGGAAATTGAACCCCACGAATGGATGTATCACCAACAAACTCAGGATTGTTGGTGGTGAAGAGTGGGATCCTGCATCTTTTACAGTTCTTACTCAACAGTATGTACGCATGAAGGTAACATATAAGGGTAAAGTTGTTCCTGGGATAATGGACAGTTCTACAGCAAAGCACTTGTCTCATGCATATGGAACATTGGCTCAACGTGTGGCTGCCATTGCTCAGGTTAGCTTGTATATATTTCACATTGTCCATAGCTGTATTTGCACAAGAACTTTTGAGAATGCCCTGTTAATCAATTGATTAATTTTATTGAAAAATTGATTTTTGATATATAGAGCCTAGTTGCATTGATTGATCCATGAAACTGACACACCTGGTGGGATATGGTTTCATTGTTTGTTGTGTAAACCATGAAGGTAAATGAATATCAAGTATCAGTAATGAATCTTGTTAAAGATATAAAAACTATCCTTTTAATTGAACACCGGGATAAGGTAAAGTGGGTCGGAGCATAGTCCATGCTTCATGCAAAAAGGGGTCTTGTGTGCAAGATTGTCAAACTTGAGAGTCTACATAAAGGGTGGAGGGTCTGTAGACTCAACTTGTAGATTCAAATGTAAATTTGTAATAATTTACCTAATACAAAGTGGGGAAAGATCTTCTTACACCAATGTAAGTCTAAAAACTCTTATACCCAATCTAAGTCTTTCATTTAACTTAAATCTAACGGTCAGTGAAATAATAAATTATAACCGGTTAGATTTAAGTTTATTCTAACGTGTAATAATACCATAAAACCTATATATGTTAAATAATAAATGACTTTTCTAACGTGTGCCCAACGGGACACAATAAAACCTATATATGTTAAGCTTTTATTGAAATCACAAAATTTGATGCATTGAAAATCACACAATAACAATAAATGCTACACTTTTCAATAAAATCTTATTATTTATTGATTTCTTATTGTGTGCCCACATGATAGTATTCAACATTACAACTTCATAATAAAGCTAACGATAGTATCAAAGTATGATAGATCATGTTGAAATCATAAATAAATGACCAATTAAAAGTTCATTAGAATATTAGATAGTTGACATCCGGGGAGGCAGCACAACATATTAGACTTTCAAAATATGATAGGTTCAACCATAACAGGAGGTTCACACAACATACAACACAACACATTAGTTTTAGAATAAAACTTTGTAGGTTCAGCCACAATAGGGGACATTGGTACCTTGTTGCCGAGGAGATCAGCCAAATTGTCAGAGGAAGGTCATTGCAGGTCATTAGTTGTCACTAGGAAGGGTCAGCCACCACCATGTTCTTATCCCTGGTCATTGCACTAATCATGGATTGTAGTTGTCTGAGTCCTTGAGGTCGTTGCATTCTCTTTAGTCCCTCTTAAACATTGGTTGTGGTTTCACATGTAACTGGTGCAAATGTAAAGTGAGGAGAGAAAAGATATATGTGTGCTTCAGTGCTTCATGTTTGAGAATTAACCTGCAACAAAAGAAAATGGTAAATGGCCTGAGAGGCATTGGATGTTCCTCAAGAATCTATTCTGAAGTGTACGTTGAATCAGAATTTGCAAAGGATAACATTGTAGTGGACTCAGATAGTGAAAAAGCTGGCATGAGAGAAAGGGAAAGCAGAGTAATCAAACCAGGTTTAGGGTAAGGTGTATATAAAACCAAGTAAAAAGAAATTAAGTTAAATTATAAATTTAGTTTTTATACTTGACACGTTTTTTTCTTCAATTTGATCCCTACACAAAAAAAAAAGCTACAATTTAGTCCCTATATGAGTAAATGTTTTTGGATTAGTCCTTGCCATTTAATACGCATTGACAGTATAAAATGAGGAGAGAAAACACACGTGTGTTTCATGTTGGACAATTAACCTACAACAACAAAAAACATTAAATGGCCTGAGAGGCGTTGGATGTTCCTCAAGAATCTATTCACAGTGTATATGACCCCTTGAGATTTAACAAACCCTTCAGAGATGAGACTTTGGATCAGAATTGGCAAAGGTAACATTTTAGTGTTGACTCAGAGAGAAAGTGCGGGCATGAGAGGGCGGAAAGGAGAGTAATCAAACCACGAAAGGGTAAGGTGTATATAAAACCAAGTAAAAAGAAATTATAAATTTATTACCTACACTTGACATGATTTTCAATTTGATCCCTATATACACAAAAGTTACAATTTAGTCCATATATAAGTAAATGTTCTCAGATTAGTTTTTGTCGTTTAACACACACTGACAGCGTTAGACAGAGAGACCAAAACGTAAAATAAGCTCATATAAGAACTCAACATAAATTTTTAATAATAAAGACATTTCTTTAGAACACACTTAATGCTTGATTGATAAAAAATTTACTATAGTTTATAGAGTCAAAGAACCAGTGACACCAAGTGTCAAACTTGAACAATTGCACTATCTAATAACTTTTCATACAATACAAAATTGATTAATCTAACCGTTAGTTTGGAAGTATTTATCAAATAGGTCATCTTTACAAAAGTTCATGTAAAAATAAATTGAATAGATACTTCATTTCATTGGTTTATTTCAACATTTAATATTTTTTTAAAAGAAAATATCAAATTTTGGGTAACATACCTGCAAAAATTTAAATCATGTAAAATTTGATATACATTATCATGAAGATAATATAAGATGATTCAATGGTTGAATTGGTCAATTTTGATTTTATGAAAACGTATTAAGTGGTGAATTTTGATACCCAGTGGTAATGAATCCCGACTCTATTTTAAAAGGTTTTGTTAATCTCAATCTTTAAGGTTGAATTTAAGAATCTAAAAATAGGAAGCTTTTATTGAAGAAGAATGCATTTATGATATTTAAGTTGTAAAAGTGTAATAAATGTTTCTTTTTTTGATAAAATTTTACTATAATTATTTGTTTAAACTCATTCTTAAGGGTTGAAATTAATATTTTCTTATTTTATATTTTTATCTTTTCTCATACCCTTAAATGAATTAATAAAGTATCGGCATTTATCAGACTGTGTGTACTTGGTTATACTTGAGTACTCTAGAAATTGTCATAATTTCATAGGACTGGTTCCACTCCACGCTCATGTAGTTAATTTCATCGAGCATATATTTCACTTTATATACACTACCCATAAAGACTATGAAATCATTAAAAGTTTTAGCATAATCTCACATTAAATGTAGTCTAGCACTTTTCTCATACACTAGTTGGACTAATTAATAGTGCTAGCAAAATTAACAAATGACTTGTTATTATCTACTGATTTTCTTGTGATATCTCCAATCACCGAAGTTGAGCTTAAGTTTCATTCTCCTCGATGTATCTATTATCAACTTCCTACTCAAACATTTTACAAAGGATCGGCCAGACTTCACATAATCAATGAAAATAATATTATCTCTCTCCACAGTTACTTTATCACATCATATCTCAATCGGATGTGTCTGTTTTTACCATTGAAAGCATTGTTCTTTGCGATGGCTATTCGGATTTGGCAATCAGTGTACAAACACGAGAGTTGTAGGCTTAATTTGTAACGAAATATATGCCAAGTTTCTAAACCACTCAGTCTCATTACTGTCTAATTCCATAGCAGTAAACTCTTGACTCCATTGTCGATTTAGCAAATAATATTTTATTTAGTTTATCTCCAAGCAAAGACACCACCTGTGAACACAACCACTAGTTGATTTGGTCTGATCTCATCTAAATCTAAAATCCAATTAGCATCATTGTGTCCCTCTAATACAACAAGAAATTCACTATAATATATTATACAATTATTCACAAACACTCTAAGTCGAAATCAAATGTCAAAAGTTAAAATCAAGAATCATAATGGTGAGCCTAATGCATTTAATAAAACACACGCATTTCACAGTTCTTTGAGGGATTGCAACTCCTAATCCAAAGGTCCTAACTTCTCTCACATTTAACAAGTTGATCTTTTTCTCTACCTCACTCTTATTTATAAAGGCAAGATGCTTTATTTCTTCTACAGTCTCAACCTGCCTAAGTACTAACTAATTCAGGCTAATTAACTGATATTTTGTAACTAACAACTAATGGGTCCCTAACTGATGTATCATACCTAACTACTAATGGCAGTTACTTAACATTGTCACTTGAAAATATAATGATAAGTTTTTCACTCTGAACTGGTTGCTTATGCAATTAATCCATGTTTTAGTTAGTGCATGATCTCATCGGTGAGAAGGTCATATTAATTATTTATTTCGTATGTAGAATGAAAATTTGGGTAAGCGACTAGCCCATGGTTACCCATTTTTGGAGGCTGAGGTGGCCTACTGTGCTCGTCATGAATATTGCGAATCTGCCATTGACTTCATTGCAAGGAGGTCTCGCCTTGCATTTCTTGACACTGATGCAGCCGGACGGGCATTACCTCGAGTGATTCAAATATTAGCAGCTGAGCACAAATGGGACAGGTCAAGGCAAAAGGCAGAGTTGCAGAAGGCGAAAGAGTTTTTGGAGACTTTTAAATCCTCCAAAAATGCTCAGTTCTATGATGGCAAACACAATTAGAAAGTCTTCTTGTTCAACTCCCCTTGAATTATATATAGAAACTGTATTTGTTATTTCAGTTTTGCTAACCATTGCCTTTTGAAAGTTCTTATTGGAAGTGTAACATTTAATAATATAATTTTTCGATAAAAAACTTTTGTTTGTTGATTCCTTAACCATTTTCCTTGATAGTAAAATCATTGTTATATTCAAGTTGTTCATTTTTTTTTTGGATTGAGAAGGGATGAATGATATAAATAATTTATAATAACATACTTTCTCGTAGGCTTTGGAATTGAACAGTCACCTTCTAAACGTGGTGTTTTTGCCTAGAGTTTCGGTGGGTCAATAAAAGACTACGAAGAGTAGCTTAATAAATCTCAGAAATCAATTATTTGATGAATTTGTCAGAGCTGCGAGGCGAAATGATGTGTTTGACGGGTTGTCGGGGTCGACTCACGTCTCCAAAAATGGGAGTGCTGTGCCACATTGTTTGGGGCAACGTTACTAACGGATTTGTGGCTATTTACTTCGGAAAAGAGAATGGTGTTAAGGAAATTAATAATGAAAAGTGTCTAGAAATTTATTCTAAAGGATCAAATTTTGATACTTTTGTAACTAAATATAAAAGCCTCTGCATCTTCGCTCTGCAACAAAGCAGGGCTTTTTTTCTTTCTTTGTTATTATAATTCACTTCTCTCTTACAAATACGTCAAATTGTGATACTTTTGCAATTATATAACTGGATATAAAACGTTCCTTTATCACTGAGCAATCAAGCTCATCTTTCTCTTTTTATTTTTTCTTACCATTTTCTTCTCTCAATTATTTTTAATATAGTTTGTGAGGCTTCAATGCTTGTACCCTTAACTGCATCTCTCTGTTTGTGAAGTTGTGTAAACATTGGAGACTAAAGATGGGTATTGAGTTACACTTCGCTGAAACGTTGCTTTTATGATTGTAACAATTGTCATAGCATAACACTCTTTTCTTTCTATTTTTTTCAACAATTTAAAAGTAAAATTTGGTCTTTGATGACTATTATAGAAGTTAATTTGGTGAGTAACATTGTATATTTTGGTTTAACATTTTTTTCAAGTGTATTGTCAATAGGAAAATATCGTATTATTTTTTCTATGATCTTGTTCTTGAAATGAATTCGTTTTATAGTTAGCAAAACTTGTTTAAGCCCTTAGGACTTGTGAATTTTGGAGTTTTTACTAAAAGTTGATGAATGCTTTTCTTTTATTTTCTACAAACCATTTTGTTGCATGCTATTTTGGTTGAGCCAGTGGTTGTGGATTTTTCGAAGAAAATATTATTTGTTGAACTACTATGCTAAGTACAGTATCTTTTTATAAATAATATATTTTAGTAGAGTGATTCAAATTTTGGATAATACAAGGTTTTCTTAAAAGTAAAAAATAATTTCCTTTTAATTTGTATTGTAGAAGAACGTAATAAGAGAAAGCAAATGAAATGGTTGTCATCAATGTTTCAAGAGAATATTGTGAGTATTTAAAGAGAAACACTAGCCTACAAAAAAGAACATGAATTATTCCAAGCCAAACTCGTAATTTGGATCCTTCAACTTTAGGGATTTTAGACCTGATAACAGCAAAATAATTTACATTTAATGTATTATATTTAAATTAATGCTTTACTCCTCTCCTAAGTAAAACCAGTTAGACTGCTTTTATATCTAGCTTGTTGATTGTTAAAGCAAAGAGTACTAGAAATATACTTTTTAACACACTATTTTCAATACACTTTATTAATTATAATTTATTAAAAATATAAAAGTATAAGAAAGAATCCTAAAATTAAAAGTGAGACTGACATAATTTATTTTTTAAATAAATATTATGTATTATATTTAAATTAATGCTTAACTCATCCCCTAAGTAAAAACGGTTAGACTGCTTTCATATCTAGCTTGTTGAAGCAAAGAATATTAGAAATATACTTTTTAACACACTATTTTCAATACATTTAATTATTAGTTACAATTTATTAAAAAAAATACAAAAGTATAAGAAAGAATTTTAAAATTAAAAGTGAGATTCACAATTTATTTTTTAAATAAATTTTAGTCAATAACTTCAAGTATGTTAGAAAAACTGAGATATTCATATTTCTGTTGTAAAAGCTAGCTCCTTCTGCTGAACACATCAACTCCTAAAGATCAAGCTTGAATTATTAAAATTTGAGAAATTTTTGCACTCTAACATTCTTTTGAGCAATTTTAACAAACTTATTAGTATTCGCCACTTTATTAAAAAAAATTGAGAATTTGTATAATTTATTTGAATAATGATGAATGATGACTACTATGTGAGTAGTGGTTTGATAATTTATTTATTTATTGAATGACACTTGATGATCGGTAGTTTTAACTGCTAAATAAAATATTATAAAAATTAAAAGTTTGATTATTTAAATATTAGTAACTTAATTTTTATTAACTACTAAATAGTAATCAATAAACTCTTACAACATTTTTTTAAAATTTTTTTAGATTTTTTATATTTTTTTATAAGTTATGTATAGGTTTAATGGCCTTTCTAATCTTATTAGTTCCCTTTAGATGAAATAATTACTCATTTAAAAAGATTTAGAATATTGTACCATGAATAAAATGAAAAATAAAATAAAACATCTGTCAATAGCATTTTATTCCAAATTTCTTAAATTCCTAATGTTATGTGCTGATTACCTGTATTTTAGTTATTTTTATCAAAGAAAAAGACCATTTTAAAAAAATCTTTTCTATTATCACAATTTAAGCATTAAAACATCTGAAAAAGAAATTTATCTAAAATAAAACATGAAATAAACTACATCAAGAAAAATATATTTTGCAATGTACAATCTTGAAATATGAATATTTATTGTAATTATCAATATGGCCCTTTTTGATAAAAGCATATTAAAAATTTGAATGTGATGCGATTTAGCCGCTCTAGCTTAACCAGAGAGATTTGGACGTGTAAAAATTGTGATCCTCTTCGTCAATTATCTTTCCCAAATCACAGATTTCTAAATCTAGAAAGTTTCTTATTTATTTTGTACGTCTCAGGGTTGAGAGAGTAGTTTCCAAGACGATATGCTCAGTTTCTTGGTACAAGTTCTGAAGAAAACAAAATATGACAAATGCTAATTGATGTCCTGAAGAGTAAAGCCACTGATTAAAAAATTAAAAAATATTATTAATGCGGTACCTTCCATGATTTTCAATTCATTACAATATAATCTGCAATAAAAATGTTTCACTCTTGATTCCCAGTGCCTTGAGGATAATCATTCTTATGTTGAGATAAAAAGTGTATCGAATGCTAAGCAGTCACACTATTATAGTAGGGACAAGATACTCCTGAAGCCAAAAGGATGCTACTACAAATATGGTCTCCTGAGTTTGCATGGGAAGTGGGAAATGTGCAAAATAAAATTTTTAAATTAAAATTTTTAAATTAAAACCTTCCCTGTTGGGGACGAAAGGGAAAGAAAATAAATATATGAAACATCAAAATTTTTCATCAACAGAAGTTGATAAATACCTTGGAGGACTATCGGGCAATCTTTAATAATTGTCACGTTAGGCCAATCAATTTAACAAGCTTAGCTCAAGGTTGACTTTGTTGCCAAATATCATTGTCCACTCAACTACAGGAAAATATAGTCTCGGAAACAGGACGGACATAATGCAAAACTTTTCTGAATGAGATTCTTCATTTCGTGCAAGGTTTCCAAATTAAAAGCATAGGACATCTATCATCCCTCCCATGCATAGCTCCAGCCCAAGTTCGAAAAGAAAAGAAATTGGTTTTCCGACCAGCAATGATGGAATGACCATAAGAAAAAATATTCAATCTTCCAACATGTTTGATGTATGATGCAGATCCTGCAGGGTCTGAGGCACTTCCTGCCCGCATTTTTCAAGAACTGCAATGAGCGGTGCTGCAAGTTCTGCATCTCCTTTTGTTAAGAAACTGTGCAATACACCATTGACACTTTGGCGAGCCATCATCGTCAAAATATGCACATAAGTGTCTATAGAGGGTACAAAACTAGGTAGGACTACTACATCATACGTCCCTATATCTTTAGTAAAGATATGCTCCAAATCAATCACGGAAACCAGCGGTCTGCTGTTTGAATCCACACTGTATAACAAAAAACAGTACATAAGCTCAAAATCATAACAGATTATGGCTGCAATAGCCCATGAGCCACACCTTTCAGCTTCGAATAGACTTTTGTTAAGGTAGGTTAGATTCCCCATAAGCTACAATGTTCTCGTATTATTGTAGATATCAAAATACAAAACTTTAAAATAACAAAATACATAAAACAGAATTTTGATGCTTTACCTATCATGAAAACTGGCTGCATCTGAATCAAGTGAAATGGAACAACCCTTGGATTCGAGAGTCTTCACCAATTTATGGCCCTTGACATCTTTCCTTAAAATATATAGCATGTTTGAATTGTTAGAATGGCTGCTCCGAAATCGATCCAAGCCTTCAATGCTCTGTAATAATTAATAGTACTCGGTTAGATAACCCTGTAGCTAGCTATAACTAGTTAGTTAGTTGCAATTAGTGAAGGGTATTAAATGTAAAATAGAAAGAACTGAGGAAAGGAGATGATCTTGGCATTTGAGAGGAAATTAGGGCTTTGGATGATGGGACTCAGATGTTATGCAAGTTTGCAGCTATTTTCACAGGATGAAAAATCCTAGCAACACACTTTTTCAAACATATTCCCTATTATTGGCTTAACTTTATTGAAAATCATAAAATTCATGTGGGCCTCGCTCTTAATTTAATGATTTTCACATATAATTTTGGAGTTTTCAATAAATTTCAACCATTAGAGCAGTGTGCTAAAAAGAGTGTGTGTGTTCTTAACACTCCTCTTCAGGGAAATTCTTCCCTATTCCTTCTAATAATAAAAGACCAGCTTCTATCATACCCATCAGTGCTTTTCTAAGTTAAAGAATATGAACAAATGCATAACATGCAAGCATTTTCCAGAGCTGTATTGACCATAAAAAATACATAAAGGTGGAATCTTTACACTACAAAACATAAAGGTGGAAATGGGAAAAGAAAAATGTGCAGTAATGCTTTTGAAAGATATAAACATAGGTTTGTGAAAGATTGAAAGAATATGTAAGTTCTGTTAATATTATCATACCATAAATTTCCTTTGGTGAAAAAAAAATCACAAGACACCAAACTGTTATTAGAAAATCTACATGTTATACTATCAAGCAAAAATATTGGTAAACTTTTTAAAAGGATAAGAAACTTCCTCTAATTATCTCTAAGTAGTTTTATTCATTTGATAATATCAATAAAAACAATGATTAAAAGCAGAGTTAGTAAGGTATACCTAAGTGCTACTTACAATAAATAAATTTATGAAATAGAATTCATGCCTAGCATACCAATAAACTTACCTTAACAACTTTCTCTTCTTCAGATGTACACACTTTAACAGACTGGATAATGCATGAACTTAGGCTGGTGATTGAATTATTGAGAGAGAGTCTACAAATTGATCCTGTCAGGAGATACTGAACCAATGGGAGAGAGGTATGGTTGACGCCATCATTGAAAATCACAAGACGGGGATTGCCAGAAATATACTTCTTAATGGATTTTATAGCCTCAGTGTGGCCAGCACTACAAATAGTATTAAGCCCATCAATAACCTATTTAATACCAAAAAGTAATTAATCAATATAATAAAAAGAATAAATTATAATAAAGAGATGATTGAAATTGACTAACACATAATACAGGGAGTATTTATTCATAGAAAGCCATATGCTAGCAAATACAGTAATTTTCATATCAAAACAAGAATATAAATTTTCACTCTATTTTCAAATATATGAATTTTGCTAAACTAATAACAAACAAGCACAAATGTGAATCTTAAAACAGCGAGAGAAATAACATGACAAAAGTGGACATTGCATGAGTAAATTTAACTGAGTTTCTACCACCCAAATATAGCAATTAAATTGATAAAAATCTGTTGATTCCATGGAAATTATATTGCTCCAAATCCTTTCCCTTCCTAGCCAAAACATGACCAAACAATAATTGAATCATTCCTGAATTTACTTTATTATTCTTAAGATGGCATTAGAGCCTACCGCAGATTTGATATTCAGCCACCCTAACTGTAAATAAAAAATAAAAAATAATAATGACCCACTGATTTTCCTAGTGTAATTAACCTGGGCCCTATGAATTTTTTAGTGCGATTTACCTAGCCCAGCAACTTTACAAGTGCAATCTACCTGATCTTGTGGCTTTCCAAATACAACATAAAAAACAATCAGTACTATAATCTTCACACTCCAGATGTCCATTTGGAGTGTGAGAGGGTATGCTGAGATCCCACATTGACTACTAATATAGCCAAATTACAAGCTAGCTTTTTGGGTTGAGTTATGCACAAGCCCAAATTTAAGAATTATTAAATCCCTCTTTTGACGATCCCACTAGGACTATACCATTAGCAAAAGCATGCATTGAGGCATGCACTAGCTCCTTCAAATGCTCAATATGTAATTCAAATACCAAGACATAGGAAGCATTGATCCTTGTGCAAACTCTTATAGTTACAAGCAGATCTTTTGGACCCCACCATGCTCTCATACACCAAAGAATAAACCTATAAAATTCCCAACATGAAGAAGTTAATTTGTCTTTCATTTGACCAGGCTATTAAGTCTCTCTGGCCCTTTTTTCTAAGGCACCATCTTGAAGGCTTAAGTGATCCTTATTACATGGCATTTTATAATTCCTATGAAACATTTATTTATTTTTCCTATTGGCACTTGATAAATGGGGGTAGTGGGAATCGTAAATTACCAACAAGGGAAAGGAACAAATCTTTAAGATTAAAATATTAATAGCATGATTAAGTTTAATAAATCAGTGTTATCAAATGACAGCCATGGCCAAAAACAGTGGCAGTTTTTTAACAATCTGCGAGCATATGGCGAGTTTGCAATGGCAGGTCATGGCGACCATGGCAGAAATTTTGGAAATCTTCCCAAAAAGAAAAGAATTGGGTCTGCAGATTTGACCCAGCTCCACACTAACCCAACATAAAAAAAAAATAAACCCTAAAATGTACACTTTCAACCCTGTTGGCCCCTGTTTTTAGTCTAGTTGTTACATCTTTCTCTCTCACAGCAACCTCCCATCTCCCTCTCACCTTCCCAACTCCTGACAACCACTACTTCAAACAACCCTCATTTTCTGGTGAGTGTTTTTTTTTTCTGTTTTGTTTTATCCTCCTTCATTCTGTTTTTCTTTTTCCTTCTCCACATTTCTCCATTCTCTCTCTCCCTTCTTTTTCTTTTTTCTATTGTTTCAACTTTCTCTTCTCAGATTTCCTTCTCATTTTCTTTTCTGTGTTTTCCTTCTGTTTTTCATCCATTTTTTTATTCTAAGTTCTAACATGGCCTAACAAGCAGCTTCCTTAAATTATTCAAGGGAAGCTAATAGGATTAATCCAACAAGTTTCCTCAATTAGTATTTCTATTTTCTTTGTTTCTTATCACTTGGTTTCACTTGAGGCTTAACGGCTTTTAGTTTGTATTGAACTTTTGCTTTGAGACTTGTGCTATTATGTTATTATGAGATCTTGTTATGAGGCATATGATATTATTTGATGAGTTTCTATCAATTACATTCTTGATTTTGACATATGTAGTTAGTTTTTGGTTTTATATTACATTTTGCAGTGGTTTTTTTTATGTGTTTCTATATATATATATATATATATATATATATATATATATATATATATATATATATATATATATATATATATATATTACATTATTTTATCATAGCTGTCATGCTTCTGCTATAAGCCACCATGGCATCCACCATAATTTTATTACATTTTTTTGGTTTTCTGCCATGACTCAATTCGCCATTGATAACATTGGATAATATATGGGGATAAAACTAGTTTGGTGTAGTATTTAAAAATAATAAAAATAATTAATTAATTTTAACTATTTTTAAAATATCAGGGTGCCTAATAAAAAGGAATCAAAGGAAGGAATAACTAATAATCATCAGCAAACATGGCATGTGCATATTTAATACCTAACAAAAATGTATAAAAGCTAACATGGTGAGTAACTATCAAATGCATAAAAGCTAGCTCATAGGGTGAGGATTGCTTTGACCTTTATAAGTTCTTATTTAGTCATATCTATGGTCAAGTGGGACTTCAATACAACCCTTCATGCTCAAGATATCTAGGCCTTGAAAATTGGAGGACTTTATTTATTTTTTAGTATCACACTCAATAAGCCACAGGACTAGGTAGGTAGCACTGGGAAAGCTGCAAGTTGCACTGGGAAATCCATGGGGCCAGGTTAATTGCACTGGAAAAATTCGTGGGGCCAGATTTTATTTTTTTTTCAGTCAAGGGTGGCCCAGTATCGAATCTGCTTTGATACCATGTTGAATTTAGACTTTTAGCCTAACTCAACTCCAAAAGCTAGCAATTGTTTACCCTTTACAAGCTCTTATTTAATCATATCTATAGTCAATATGGGACTTCAACAACAATAATTAAAAGAAGAAAGACTTGTATAACCAGTACATTGGAAGGAAATATTACCAGAATGGAGACAGCAGAAATATCAATCGCCTTCATAGAAACAAGCTTCAAAAGCCTCTCGGGAGTAGAAACAAGAAACTCAGGTTCACAAGTTTTCAGACTGTTAAAAGCAAAACAAATGTTATGTAGAATCAAAAAATCTGCACAAACAATGATCTTTCCCTGTAAATCCTTGAAATTGCCAACTTATTCCCAAACAGCAACATGTTTCTTCTTGCAATGTCACTAGCAAATGAAAGCATCTTTCAAAAGAAAATTAATTCATTTGAACTGCAGTAATGACTAAATTTAATATCAAAATATTATTTTGCTGGCTTGCACACCACAAAGGAACTCCCTCTTGATATCTTTTGTAATGGAATTTTCTCACTCTCAGACTTTCAGTTATTTTACACTAGCCAGACTTCATAGGAATTCAAACATTTAATATAATTTCATCGTCTGTCGAAGAAAGAAAGACATGCTCGTACAAAATAAAACCACTTACATAGGCACTGTATTGGCTCTTGCATATAAACTAGCACATGCACATAAGATTCAAGACAAAGACGTCAACAATTTGTGCGTAAGAAATATGACAAAATTACCCACATTATGTTACAGAGACTAATTAATTCAAAATTACCCAGATAACACTTCAAACATCATACCAAATAAAGCTAAATAAAAGCCTATAAAAAAAGATTTACTCACTGATATACTTGAATGAATGAGAAGCAACGTGCATTACCAAACAAAATTATCAATACAAAAAGATTCCCTATTTTCTGATCATATCATGCCCTTTTGATCACACACATTAATGTCAAATGCAATGAAAAACAAAAGATGAAGTTTCAACAATTACCCTTGAATCTGATGATCTAAGGAAGCACCTGGATGAATACTCACTGTATGTATTCCAACAGATTTCAAAGGCTTGCAAACTGTTCGAACCTGCCCATCAATTTAAAGTTTTAGAATCCGCGTTATCAACAAACAAATCAACAGTTTGTTAAGGTCCATAGTTACAAGAAAGTTGGAGAAATTTTCTTCCCTTAAATTAATACTTCCTTTTGTTAGATAGCACAATAAAAGGTCATATCATGAACTGTGTCTTGGGGACATTCTGACTAAATCACAATGACTAAGTACATAGATCTTTTCCATTATAAACAGTTTATAGGAGAATGAAATGCAATGTCATTCAAAATATAATTTAAAAAAAAAAATTAAAAATCAAAGTCAGAATCTCTGAAAACTAAGTCAAGCTTCAAATCAAACAATACTAAAATTTAACATCAAATTCAAAGACAAAATGACGTGGGGTCCCATGACTCAAATTCCATTTGAGAGTCGGAGTCCAAAAGGAGGGGGAAGACAAGCTGCTGGGTGCATCTGTCAGTATAGTGATTTTTATGTAAGGGGAAAAAGAAAAAACACACAAAAAGAACCAGCAATGAAGTTGTAAGCATGTAGAGGAAATTTAACTAACCTGGGCAGCTTTTTCTTGGGAAGGTACAAGGAATAAAAGGAAAGGGCCAGAAAAGGATAACCCTTCTTTCTCATTTCTTACAAAAGTATCAGCTGCACCAGAAACCATCCAAGCAATTTGCTCGGTAGTAGCAGAGGTTCCACTGGTCTCCATCAGATCTTTTCCCGTAGAATAACACTTTGAAAATTCTAATCCCCATGGATTTAGAAAGAAAGAGTTTCCCTCTCCATCAGTGTAGGCATCCCCATGTCGCAATGCATTTTCAATTGAGCTTAGACACCAAAATACAAACTTAGAAGGGAATTCTGAAACGTCACAATCAAGCTGTCGGGCACCGCAAAGGTCAGCCATCTCAGTCACCTCAATATTTTTCCTTTCCGACTTAACAACACATTTCTGACCCTGATTATCGTTGCCTGTCACAGATTCATTTTCCCTTTGTATATCATTCAATTTTCGCAAAATATTCCTCCTACCAACTGCACCTTTCCTTCCGGGCTCACTATGCGCATTAAGAGGAACCATCTCATCTTTTGGTTTTGGTGGCGTCTTCCTTTTAGGACTCCCTATTTTGAATTCCTCTTTCCCACATCTATCATTGAATGGATCCTCTGGAGTAGGTAGACTAAAGCACATACCCTTTAATATCATGGAAAAAAGTCACTTCTTCAATTCCACTCTAGAAGAAAACACAATAAACACAATTCTACTAACACTTACTGAAATAACAACCCCAATGCTTTCTTAACATATTCAACATAGAAAACAATACACTAACATTTTTCAACTCAGTTGTTTTAATCATCAACATTGCACATACCATCCAATAACCAAAGTTAGCAATTAGGATCAAGGATAATTAGAAAATAGATATAAGGAATAATGCAAAAGTAAAGTATAAGGAAAGAAAGGAAAAAAAAAATGAAACCAAACCACCTAAATCAAATGAAAAAATTAAATAAATAAAAGACAGGGAACAAATAAGAAAGCAAAATATGACTGTAATTTTTCGTTAAAATAAAAAATATATATATAAAAAAAAACATTTTAGCAAGAGAAAAAGAGAGTAACAGATTCGATACCTGGCAAATGCGGCGTTTACCGGCCTTACGGCGCTTCTTGGCAGCGATAACGGCGGCTACCTTGGCAGAGAGAGAAGAAGAGTCATTGCTCTTCCTTCGAAGCTTTTTGTTCTTCTTCCTTCGAACAGCATCGTCACCCTTGGCCATTGCTGCTACCAGTAGTAACTGGAGAAGAAGGTAGGTTATATGCTTCTTCTATGGCGGCGCTTCACGCGCCTACTATCGTCAGTTACTAGTGCTTCAATTGACGGCATTTTTCACCCGGCATTGTTTGTAGTACAATATTAGGTTAAATATTAGCTGTAACTTTATTAAATGACTTTCATTACCCTCTTTTTAAAAAACTTTCTAATTTTCGTAATTGTTTTTAAATTTTTAATTTGTATTTAATAATTTCAATGTGAATTTTAATTGTTTTGTTACAGTAAGATTTTAATGTAGTATTTGACTACAAATATCAATTTTTCGATGATGAATTTTACATGTCTTGTCAATAAATTTGTATTTTTTCTCACCAAACATGTTCAATACTACACCATTGTTTACCCTTGTTGCTTGAACACTTGCAATGGGCTGTTACAATACAATTTAGCATTATGCTATAAAAATGTCCCCATTTCAAAGCGTTGTATGGGCATTCTCCCCCAACGCTGCCAAGCTAGTGAAGCTACACTCCAGTCCAAGCTCACACTAAATTACCTGTGATCCTTTTCATAAGAAAGGAAGTATATGTAATTAATTTATAATATATTTTAAAAATAATTATAATAATAAATGGTTAAATTAGTGACTTATACATTACATGAATAGAGAGAGAAGAAGGAATAATAAATAAATATCTTATAACTTCTTTTAAAATATTGATAATTTAGCTTCTCTCAAATAACTTTGTTATTCTCAAATGATTAAGCATTTATAGTAGATTTTATGCTTAAGTAAGATGATAATATTTGCTTCTATTGGGTGGTTAGCTATTAAATGAACCTTCTCTTTAAACATTTTAGAATTTTTCTTTTCTAATTTTAATTTTTTCTTCATCTACATTTGTATTATTTATTCTAAGTAAAATGTGTTAACACACACTTTTCAACTTGTAAAAAATGTTAGAGGTATTAATTAAGATAAACTCTCTTTTAAAAGTTAGTTTATCTATGTAAAAAAAATTATATATTAGTCTCTATACATGCATCTATTTTCAATTTCATCTTTGACGTTATATTTAATTAAAATAATGTTTGCTTTTCATTTATACAGTTGACGATGATCCGATCTCTCTTGTGTAAATGTCAGATATTAAGTTATTATAGATAGGGACAACAAAGCAAGAAACTAAGAAATAGAGCCAACTGTAGTAAACATATATACTTTGAAGAAAAGAATAAAGTGTCATTATGTAATTATGGGAGTCAAGTAAAGATTTGCAAATCATGAACTTGTCAAAAATCAAGTAGGACTTATCAAACATATAGTTTGACATTTTGTTTTACTATTTTTTTATGTTTTATTTACTCACCATGACATCTTGAAAATTTAATAAAAATTAAAAGATTAGGTAATATGTGAAGTTAATATTTTGAACATTATTTTTTTTAAATTGATTGATAATTTTTAAATAAGTTTGATGTTGTTAAATAAAAATTATTTATTAAGTTCATATATTATTTAAAGTTTTTATTAATTAAATCCTTATACTCAACAAAAATATAATAAAATCCTAATAAAAATATGACTATAGTTTTAATTAAAGACACATTTAAAAACTTATTTAAATTTTAAAAATTAAAATATGCAAATTTAAATTAAATTAGTATATTGATCTTTTAATTTTTAATTTTGTTTCTGTTTTTTCCTTTAACTTTTTTTTCTTACTTTTTATCCCTTAACTTATCAAAATATTTCACATAATTTTTTTTATATAAAATTTGTTAACTTCTTTAAACATTAATTTTTGTATTAAATTTTTTTACAAACTCTAACAAAAACACAATATATTGTCATGAATATTTGAATTATTTTCTTTTTCTCTCTTTTCTCTTCCTTCTTTTATCTTTGGTTATTTATGATTTTTTTTTTTTTTATCTTTGAGCTCCAACAATTTTATTTTTATTTTTCTTTATTATCTTATTCCTCATCCATATCTTTCTCTTGTTTTTTCTTTTTACTCTTCATTTATGCTTTCACAATTCCTTTTTTACTCTTTTCAAAAAATTAATATGATCATTTTAATTAATAAACCTTACAAATATATATATATATATATATATATATTAGACCTTTTATACATATGATTACTTTTTTTAAAATGTATATAAATAATTAAATATTATAAACTCAAATCTATGTCATTATTATAATAAAACTTCAAAATATACTGTGTGTTACTTTTAAAAGATAATATTTTAATTAAGAGATCTAATAAAGTTGAAGTTTTTTAGAATACTTCATTATATTTTTGACAAAAATATAAAAAAATAAGAAGAAACTTTTTATTAGAGTTTAAATAAAATAAAGATTTGAATAAATGATAAAACAAAAAAAAAGGAAATAAAAAAATTGTCAAAATTTTTAAAAAAGGAATCGTAAGGACGTGGATAGAAAAATAAGAGGATAATAGATTTTAAGAGAATTAAATTTTTTTAAAAATTATTAAAACAATTTTATAAATTTAAGAATCAAAATAAAAAAATTAAATATTTAAAATGAAAAAAATTAGAAATTACTGAACTAATTTATTAATTTAACTACAAAACTATTTAAAAAATTGTAAATTAATTTAATCTTGTATCATTAATAACTTTAATTGTTATAATAAAAAATTTAATAATACTTATTAACTTTATTCATTATAAAATGACAAATTTTAACAATATTAATATTAATTTTATATTTTAAATTTGATTATTTTTTGGATAAATGATCTTACTATTTTTAATATTTATTTTATGTTTCTCTAATATTTAAAAATTATTATTAGTTATATAATAATTATTATTATTATTAGATTTTTTTTTTTAATTTTGAGTTTAACTTAGTCAAAATTGGTCATAATTTTGTGGGAAAACCTTAGTCAACCATGACAAGAACAAAACTAGACTCGTTAAACCTTTTTTATAGTTACTTTATATAACATCTTAATTTTAATTTTAAAATAATAAGTTTCACAAAATGAGAATAATAAATTTTTTGTTTAAATATAATTTTTCAACACATAGTTTCATCCAAGTATTTCAAAATAATAAGAGATTACAAGTTCATATCAATGACTGCTACAAGGTCAATTCAATTACATCGTATTTTCAAAATAAATAATCTAAGTTCTATAGTAGTATCATTTATTCCTTCATTAAGCCTAGTACTGATTATCTTAGTCACTTGAAATAAATGTAAGGGTGAGTACTCTACAATATAAAAAACACACAAACATAGAGACTCATCTTGCACGCTCCACAAGTTTTCTAACATATTATACTCAAGTATAATAAATTACAAACAACATTTTTCAAACATTCTATTTTAATTCACAACTAATGCACTTACTGCACCAATAACATTTTACACACATGTGTGCTCACTGCATATAGTCACGCTTATTGTGGCACTGTGATCACAGTTTCACACCATGGATAGTTGTCGGTTAGCTTCTGTCTCACGAATACAACGTGTGAGGTCACGAGCTCCTCAGCAAAGGTGTTAGTCAGAGGCTGAGTCAGGAGGAGAGTATGTGACCTGTGGTACACCTACACTCACTATTGGTGTCACCACCACCCTTTCTTCTTCATGGTATTCCTACCGCCCCATCTTCCACACCTCCAATGTATCGTTGAACCATTCATAGCATATTTGCAACCTCAATTAACATGCCCACCACACACATTTTCAGCCATATTCTCAGTCACATACAGTATCCATATTCATACATGGCACATATGCCCACATTCACTCACATCATATTCCATACACATAATATTTCTATCGCAATCCATATAGGGTTTCCATCACAATCCAATCATAATCAATCCAAACATCATCACAATCATACCTAACATGAAATACCCATCAAATACACAAGTTCATACATTCATCTCAATCATATTATGAAACATAGCATAATAAATGGAATCCTAACCACAAAATGAGATAGGGTAGAGTCTCCCTTTACCTCAAATTAAAGACCCACAACGCAGTCAACAATGGAAGCATCCTCCACACATATTTCGTCCTAAATACACGAAGAAATTCCATAAGAACTCAAAGAGAATCATGAAAAGAGGGACATAAACCGAAACCCTAGCCATTGAAACTCACCTCCAAAAGTTCTAAACGTGACTGTCACCTTCAATCTAGCTTCCAAACGACTTTAGAGGCAATTTAATTGGTAAAAATAGGTTGAGAATCGAGAGAATAGAGAGAGATCTCAAAGGAAAAGTAGGAAAATAAATTTTTCAAGCCCTAAATCCTTCAAATACCTTTTGGTCGTGCTACTCTCACTACAGTGAGATATTATCGCTGCAGCGAGGGGACCTTACTACAGCGAGAGGACCTTGCTGCAGCGACACTCTCTCTCATTACAACGAAAATCTCAGAGAAAATTACACTCTGGCTTCTGCAGAATCTCGCTACAGTGAGATTGCACCCAAGAATGCACTTTCCACTGTCGTCCTCTCGCTACAGCGAGAACGCAACAGTTTCATCCTTTTTTCACAGTGCCTTCTCGCTACAGCGAGAACGGCACAGTTTCATGCTCTTCGCCCAAGGCCTTCTCACTATAGCGAGAATGCTCATGCAGCACACACGTAGCTTATATACTCAAACAACTCTAGCCCAAACACAAGTCAATCATCAACAATCATGCTCAAGCACAAGTCCACATCACATTTTTTTACCACATATTCATACATTCAAATCATTACACAATCAAATGTACATTTAAACATCAATTTATACATTTATATTAATAATCAAATAATATTAAAAAATTTGGAACGTTACACTTTACAATACAAAATTTTTCTTTGTATCTAATGTTTAGTAGTCTCCCTTCTATATATATTTTTTTAGTTCTCTACATATTGATGTTTACTTATTTTTAATTATTCTTTATGATAGTTGGCAACTAATGTTAATAATAATGAGTCAAAGATTTGGCCCTATAGTGTTAAGACATTCATGGATATTATAGTTGATGGTTGATGAAGCCACGGAAGGAAACATGTCAAATGGTGTGCTTCACTCTAGAACATGGAATTCAAATACTATGAAGTTAAATTTCATAGCAAATCATTCATACAAAACAGAATAATGCACAAGTTACGAGCTATTTATCATGAATTTTCTCTACTTTTGCAACAAATTGGATTTGGATGGAATGCATAAATCAAAACTATCACTGCAAGTAAAGAAATACGGCAAAATTATCTACGGGTATGCTTTAATTTAATTTAGTAATCAATAATTAATAATGGATTGACTATTTGCTTATATTATTTTAGGTACATGATAAAACTGCTCAATTTCAAAAGAAAGGATATGACCATTATAAGTTATTAGAAATGATATTCAATAGAAGTACTGCACCTGAAGTATTTCATCATTCATCTACCTAAGATTCACGAAATATAAATAAAGAAAATGAGCTTGAAAATCAATGCCTCAATAGTAAGAGTTATGTAAATGTTGATAATGATAGCTGAGATGATGACATAGTAGAAGTGGAGCGTATCTCACATAGTGAGAAATACACAATTTAAGTAAAAGAGCATAAGTCTACAAAAGAGTCTAGGATATTACAAATGGGAGAGACACTTGCAGCATAAGATAAATCATCTAAGGCAAAAGCTGAGAAGTATAAGGCTAAAAGTATATAGGCTACTTCTTCACTCGTTACACCATATTATTTTATTACTAAGTGTGACTGCCCTCGAAGAGATTGAAGGCATACCAAATGACATTTATCTGAAAGTCTTAGAAAAATTTAGAAAGTTTGATTGGAGGAAAATGTTTCTTGTCAAGTCTACTGACAGAAAGCAAGCATGGTTATTTAGGCTTTAAGGATAAATTTTAGACATTTTTTTAGTATCTTCATTTATTATTTTTATGATTATATTTTTAATTTGTAGTTAACATTTATTTGTGTATTTTTATGAACTACTTTGAATTGTATGTTATGTTATTGCACTTTTATTATATAATTTTTATTGAATATCTTTTTCATCAATGTTTTTTATGGAACTATATGACAAGTTATAGATATTGATAAAAGTGATGATTCTTCTTTGAATTCAAGTGATGATGAGTTCGCTATTTCTTTTAAACATGTTTTATGATTATGATCATAAATTTCTGAACAAAAGAAAGGTTTAAACATTTGCTCTTAGTGGTTGTGATTGTATTAAGAGTTATTAATTGGACCTGAAGTAACTTGTTTCGAGTTAACGAATGACTGCTTTATTAAATTTTGTAATTAGTTAAGGGTAAAAAGTTACTTAAGTGACTCAAGGAATGTACTTCTCAAAGAAAAAATTGCTATATTTTATTTATAATTGGCTAGAATGTTCGTCATAAAGTTGCTACAGATCGCTCTTAGCACTCAATAGGAACATTTTCCCATTATTTTAAGCAAGTATTAAGAGCATTATGTTTATTGAAAAAAGAGTTGATAAAACAATAATCTATATAATTATCTAGTAAAAATAGAAATATGTCAAAATATTATCCTTGGTTAAAGGTATGTATGTTATAGTTATTTATTATTTTAATTAGTTCTCATTTTATTCTTTTATTTTATCATTTTTTAATTTTTTATTTTGAGTTATTGTTATAAAACTGCATAAGTGCAATCGATGATACTTATATAAGTGCACAAATTCCTGTTGAAAAACAAACTGCATACAGAGATAGAAAAGTAGCTATCACACAAAATGTTATGTGTGCTTAGGATTTTAATATGATATTTACATTTGTGTATTCGAGATTAGGGCTGTGCAGGGTATGGGTGGGTTCAGGTTCAAAAACATGAAACCGAAACAATCTGATCTCTTAACAATTTAAACTGCTTTTGTCCGAATAATTATATGAGTTGGGTGGGTGGCGAGTGTATCGGGTTAGACGGGTGATTTTCCATCAATTTAAACAATAAAGATGAAGCACATCGTCGATAGGTAAGGACAAGATAAAATACTACGGAGTCAAGATGAAGCATGGAAAGCATTGTACTACTAGTTGCTAAGGTGTCGTAGCTATGCCCATCGAATCCTTACCTCCTTAGAAAACTAAAGAGGTATGCTATCGAGAGGTTGAGGCCTCTGGACTTACACCGTCTTCCTATAGAACTATTGGAATTTGAAGAGATGGCTAATTTTCTAAAGTATTCACTTCTCTGAAACTGGATGATGCAATGGCTCAACTACCTTAAATGGTATTGCAGTCTATCTATGGATCCTTGAGTTGAACTCAAAAAGTTCTTTAAAGCCCCAGTTGTGTATCACTACTAGGAGATCAGGTGAACAGATTCGAAGCTGGTTCACTTTGGTCTTCTATAGCATTTGCACAACATTGTCCCAAATGTTGGATTAGATTATAGGAAGTTAAACCAAAAAGGAAAAAGAAACGTAGTACTATTATCCTAACCATTTAATTTGAAGAATTAATTGATTGCGTTTGGTTAGCTATAAGTCAATCGTCTTCATCCGATTCCGACCAAATAAACCCATACACAACCAAATTTATAACTTTATTCAAGCAAAATTTAAGACAAATCTTTAATTTTGTAAAAAAAAAAAATTTCAGTTTAAACAGGTAGAACTCAGGTAGTTAGTTTATGCTCACTCCTATTTGAGATGGGAAAGAAATGCACATGATTCAAAAGTTTTTTGTGAATGCACTTATTAACTCAAATGAAAATTTTCCATGATCATCTAAAGATGAGTACTTATATTATAACTCATCTATTTTTAATTGATGAAAAAATATTCATAAATATATATTCAATTTGATGTAGGTTTGTTCTATCTTGTTGATTTAAGCTATTTATGTGTGAGAGGTTTTCTTTCTCCTTAATGGGAAGAAAGGTACTGTACATAGGAATATAGAGGTCAAGCCAGACAACCAAGGAGTCTTATATGATTATTCAACTACTGACATCTTTATTTGAAAATGGCAATTAAGCTTTGTTTCACAATCTTCAAAAATAAATTTCCTATTTTGAAGTTGATGGCTTCATAGAAATCTTCTAGACAATGACTTATAGTAACAACATATTATGTTATTCATAATTGCATATAGAAGTGAAATTTGAATAATGATTTATTTTGGATATGGGAAGAAATGGATCTTATATAAATTGAGCATGAGAATAAATGTTTTAGCATAGAAGAAACTAGCTCTAATAATCATAATTTAGTCAAATTATTTGAAAGTACAGCTAAGATAACATTTAATGACCATATTTTAAATTGAGTGTAGGCACAATATAACAACTTGTTAATATTAGTTTATACATTATACAATTATAAATATATATATATATATATTTATTTTATTGTAATCAATATATTTTAATATTAAACTTTCTAAGTTTAATACTAATTTATATTTTATAATTTTCATAATTTATAAAACCTTCAGCATTGCAAGTATTACTTTAATTTAATATTAAATTTTAATGTTTTAATAAATTTTTAATTCAATATTTTTATTTTAAATTTAAAAATTTATTTAAGTAAATTAAAAGATACTAAAATTAAATATCATATATATAAATAATTTATAATACTAAATAAATAAATAAATAAAATCAAACATATTTTCTTTTCTAGTTTTTAAAACTTGTTTTCAAAGATAAATATATCAAACAAGTTTTCTTATTTTTTTATATTAATTTTTTAAAAGAACTAAACTACTAAACTTCTAAACAAGTTTTATTTATATTTTCTTCTTAAAAATAATTTTATAAAATTGTTTTAAAATATAATTTTTAAAAACTAAAAATCAAAACTAAATTAACCAAGCCCTAAGTCATTATTTCTCTAAAATTAACCCCTAATTTATAATCAATTTAGTTTTCAAAATTATAACAAAACTTGTCCATGAAATTATTCAAAATAAATTATTTTGTCTCAACTTTATGAAAGAAAATTTTAAATTCTTACAATTGATAATATTAATCCTTAAAATTTATGACCCCAAATTATAACAATGAATCTTTAGTTTCTCTAAATATGAGAAATGATTTGGATCCTCTCCAATAATTCAACTTCTACAGCAGAAATGTTGACAGTTCAATATTTAATGATTATAATTTTTTATAATATTTTATGGTTGTCTAATGTTATATTTCACAACACTCAAATTTTTCTGCGGCCGCATGACTCTAAAATATCTAATTTGTACGAGGAATCAATTATTTTATTTCTCACATTTATCTTATTTACATTAAACAGGATTTCATTTTCATAGAGAAAAATAGATAAAATAATTAAAAAACACTTAAACTAATAAGTACTTATAGTTTTAAAGTTGAATTTTTTATAATTAATTAATTTTTATAATTTTAAAACTGAAATGATAGATATCAATAATTTTAAAAATAGAAATATGAATTTATAAATATTTTATGATTTAATTTTTTCATAATTTAAAAGATTAAATGAATACGTTTTTATTATTTTAGTGATTAAATGAAGTCAATTTTAAGAAATTTAAAATTAGATTTTTTTAATGATTTTCTAAACTAAATTAACAAATCCCTGTTAACGTATACATATAAATGACGCATGGGTCTGGTACGAGAAAAAAAGAAAAAACGAAAATAGAAATAGAGGAGTTGGTCCCAGACATTGCGAGTACGGACACACACGATCCCGGTTTCGTGTGTGGTCTGTTTTCAATCGGTCATCTCATTTTGATTCTCTCTCTCTCTCTCTCATAAGATTCCTTTCGCCCTTCTTCTTCTGCTGCTGCTGCTTCTTCTTCACTCTGGTTTTTTGACCAAACAAAAATGCAGTCGAGCCCGTTGCTCCTCGAGGAACCCATCAGGATGGCTTCCATCCTCGAACCATCCAAGCCCGTCAGCATCTCTTTCTCTCTCCTCTTTTTTTTTTTGTAGTTTGGCGTTCCTTTTTAGCTCTGTGATGAGAAAAATCTAATCACCGTTTGTTTTGGTGTGATTTGATGTTTAGAACTAATGTGTGCTGTTTGTTCGTTGACGCTCCTTTTGTTTCCTGACTAATTAATTTAGCAAATCAAGTAACGAGTTTTTGTTTTTTGTTTTTTTTTTCAGAAAGTAAAAACTCGAAGATGATTCTGTTAGTGCTTGTGTGTAGGGAAATAATCATTATTATTTTGTAAATAAATACACGCTTGGAATTCTGGATGATGATGATCTGAGTTTAGATCGAATTTATGCTCCTTGTCAATTTGGATTTTGTTTGAAGTGGTTATTGAAATGCTCTCTGCAGAGTTTCTTTCCAGCAATGACAAAGATTGTTGGTACACTTGGCCCGAAGTCACGGTCAGTCGATGTGATTTCCCGTTGTCTTGAGGCTGGAATGTCTGGTATTTTGCCATTGGAACTTTTGATTCTTTGTCATCTTTATTTAACAATTCATTGTAGATGTTTTATTTTATTTCATTTACCTTCAGGTTTCTTGGTTTTGAGTATAGTATGATAGGATACTGCTCGGTCGTCTTGTTTATCTGATTGCTATGTTGTCAGAAAATTAGAATAACTCTGTCTACTGAAATCAATGCAGTTGTTTAAAATTTTTTATAACTATACAATTAGGAAATAAATATGAATAATCTATTGTCTTCTGGTGTTATTGTTACTTGTTTCATCCGTTACAGTTGATCATCTTATTCTTTTTTTCTTACAATGTTTTAGTGGCAAGGTTTGATTTCTCATGGGGTGATCCAGAATACCACCACGAGACTTTGGAAAATTTACGGGCTGCTATCAAAAGTACCAAGAAACTCTGTGCGGTAAACTCAACTTATTTTGTGTTTGTCTATTTGTAAACAGTGCATTCATCATTACTGCTTGGGGTTTGAAGGTTTTGAAAATAAAATCTACCAGTTTTGTTGTTGAGTGAATATTATTAAGGACATCTGCTGAAGGAGATCAGATCTTGAAAAGCATAAGATCAGAAAAACAGCAAAAGGAAACTAAGAAGAAGAACATAAATCAAGGCTTCACACCCAGGGTATAGCCAATTAAGTAGAACTTTGATTGATTCTTATAAAACATAATCCTTGTACAGTAAGGATTTAGGATTCCCAGCTAATTAATAAACACTTTGATAGACTGGATAGGAATACCTCTAAGAAACACTACACCTCCAACTAGTTAAGAAACAGTTTGATACACTGGATTAAGAATAGGGAAGACTTATTACAAAAAGAATGCCCTCTGACCAGCATGGCAGCATCAATGTGATACAATGCCAGAGATCCAGAAAAGGAATTTCATTGCTACACCCTAGGTATTTGAGAGACTTGGTCTCTGCTCTTACTTATTCTTCCTAAAAATACAGAATACCCACTCCATTCTCTTGTTTCCCCTTGATAACTACCTCCCTCTTTTATTATCCTAACTGCAAATAATAGCATCTTTTGACAATTATTTATTTAGTAACACTCAAAGCACTAGTTGGCTATCTTTCTGCCTATTTCTTTTGATGTAGATCCTATTTATTGGGTCTGCTAACACATTTAAATATAGAAAAAAGATAAAACTGAAAATGATAAATCCATGCTCAATAAGCCCGAAAGCTAATAAAAATGTTGTAAAAATTTACTTAGAAGTTTGTTCAATTGGCCACAAATCAAAACAAAACTAAAGGACTGAAGGTTGTTCTTTAAGCTTAAGTTTTGTTGTTGCTCGTGCATCTAGTGGTACATTCTCATTGGTTATCATTTAGTGTCTTGTTGAAAGTAAGCTTTGAGTATCTGATAGGATAAAATTGCAAGTTATGGGGCTTGAGTTCTACATTGGAAGTATGAGATTCTAATGTTGGGTTTATAAGGCCTTGGGCTCTCCAACTACAACAGCTAGCTTTTGTAATTGATGTTGGTTCTCCCAAGGTTCTTATTGTATCAAGGAGAAATTCTGTCTCTACACAAAATCCATATTATTTATACTAAAAGTGTGTGTTGATGCACATTAGGACAGCACAAGTAGAATTGTAAAGCACAGTTTTTTCTCATGTTTTCTGTTTGATGGTTGGTGCATAACACAATTTTTTTGTAGTATATGTTGTTTGATATGCACAAGTACTGGACAAAACATAATTATAGGCAAAATTAGTATTTTTCATCCTCTATGTATAAGCTAAGTTTTGATTTCACCCTTGAACTTTTTCTTGATTCAATTTGGTTATCTAACTTTTATATCTATGTTCTTACGTTAAAATGGCATTAAATCTCATCGAATCTTGCCAGAATCTGGGTTTTTCCAGGAATAATGAACTGAGTCATTTTGTCCCATCTAATTTTCTAGGTGTAGGCCTCAAAACACCTAAGAGTTTAGGGAAAAGATCGCACATGAATGATGAGAAGGAGCCCTAAAGAAATTAGGTTAATTGTTGTTCTCCATTTTAGTCAATGAAATCATGCAGCATTTTGATATGTTAGCCACAATTCAGTGTCTGGAAGAATCCTGTAATTTCATTAATCATTGATAGGAATAAAAAAATGAGTGTTCAAAATCCAGGTTTGATGAAAGCCATTTAAATATTTACTCTCTCATTTTAACTGATAAAGTCACTCAAAGTTTTGGTATCTTTGGTTGCAGTGCAATATTTAGAGAAACTTCTCATTCAATTTCAATAATAATTGAAAGAAAAAACTAGTTTGTGCCTTTGTGGAGAGACTTTGGCAAGAGTTAGCATCATTATATTGAACGAACCAACTATAATTGTTAATTACACAACTTGTATTTGTAATTCACACCTCAAACATACACTTCAATATTACCATCCCTGCATGGCTTTGAATAGTAATATAAAAAAATAAATTCTATTTGGGTATCTGTTATTATTCTTATTGTCCACGATGCATTAATCCCTGCTTCAAACTATTATCAATGTGTATGGCATAAAGTTGACTTTTGTCCAATTGAGTCTGAAGTCTTTTAGATATCCATTCTGTTTATTGATTGGTATGTAATAAAAAAGTTTTGGAAAAGGAAACTAAGATTTACAACGGTCCTTACTCTTTACAATTGCATTAGATGAGATGACTCATGGTATATCATCAAAAGTAACTGATTTTAGTTCATTAGCTTTTATTCTTAGACATGCTTTTGAAATAAATATGATTTTTTGTTTAATGCCAGGTTATGCTGGATACTGTGGGTCCAGAGCTACAAGTTGTCAACAAAAGTGAACACTCAATTTCCCTTGAAGCTGACACATTGGTTGTCTTAACTCCTGATCAGAACAAAGAAGCTACTTCAAATCTTTTACCTGTAAATTTTAGTGGGCTATCAAAGGTCAGTATTCCTTTCCCATGTGATGCATTTGTTGGGTTCATATTTTATTTATGTTGAATAATTAATATGTTTTGAGGTTTGTATACATGTGTATAGTTGTCAGTCACACGTTAGTTGTCTTGTTGCACATTTGAGTTTTTACTTTATCATCTGTTTGTGATGTTATGGGTGGCATCTTGGTGATTCATCCATATTATATCATGTGGGAGGCAGCTCGATTACTTGATGAAGCAAGAAGCAGTTTGTGGTGGCTGGAAGCAGTGCTGAAGCAGAATTTAGGGCATTTGCCTATGGTATATATGAAGGATTTTGTTGCAATTGATCCTCAAGGGACTAGGAATTTCTTCAACCATTCTATGAAAAGTCTTGTGTGATAACAAAGTTGCTTTTATCATTGCAAAGAAAACAATTCATCTTGAAAAAACCAAACACGTAGAGATTGATTGGCACTTTACCAAACAAAAAGATGATGATTGGGAATTTTCTGAAGCATTATCTCTTTTGTTACTGCTGGATTCAATCCATCTTTCCTCTAATCCAAACAAGAGGATTTGGCCTCGTTACACCTCAGGCTCATTTTTCTTGCAGATCCCATGTTTTGTTCCTCATGTCATCTTCAGCAATGACATTTTAGTTTTGGATAAGTCTATTTGGAAATCAATTGCTCCTCCAAGGTCAAATCCTTTGTACAGAATGCTGTTTTAAACAGGATAAATATGAATGATTTACTTCAAATTTGAAGACCTATGACACATTTGTCTCCTGACTATTGTGTGATGGAAGATCGAGGTTGAGTGTCAGACACTTTTGACACCGACATGACCCCTTTTTGACACTTTCATGTGTTGGTCACTCTTTATTTGGTGTTCACTTACTTTTTATAATTGGCTCGGCTTCATGAGCCAACCCTTCCATATGGCTCAAACACTTGACTTGACACCTCGATATTGATGGACGCTAATATTATAAAAAATGGTTTTGTATCTTTCAAATATTTAGAAAAGTCAGCTTAAAATGTAATATAGAAGATTAAAAAACAATGTTTAGGCTCAATATCGTAAGAAGTACAAGAATATATTAATCTTGATTGTCATTTTACACTAGCTGTGTCAAAGTGTGTCAAAAACCACTGTTCATAGCATTGAAAAGACATTGTAGAATCTGTTTGGTTGTTGGGTGAGTTCATATGGGATTGAGCAATTCAACTAATTTCGCTGCTCTGTTTTGCTAATGGCCTTTTTTAAAGTTTGGCATGTTGTGTTGCATGTTACTTGTATTATTTTTTTAATTCTTTTTTCCTTTTCTTGGTTTCCTCACCAAGTGGGGTAAGGTTTGGTTGTTGTTTCCATTTCTTGGTTTAGTTCTTGAGATACCCTTTTCTTTTTTAACTCTCTTTTTCTATCGCAACAAATTATTGACGGGTAACCAAACTCCCCACCCCCACCCCCCCAAAAAAAAAACAAGAAATGCCACCAGACAACTACAACATTTTAACTAAAACACTTTGAAGGCCTAATTATGAGAACCCAAGATCTAAGCTAGACTAAATGTTCTTATTGTTTATAGCTTGGTATATTGATTTTGAGCCATTGAATGTGATTGATATGTGTGTCTAAATTTATCTGAACTACATACTAACATTAGAATGTGTGCTTTAATTGGAGAGTGCAACTTGATTTTGTAACTTTAAAACAAACAGGGGTTGGTAGGAATTACAGTTCCTAATTAATTTGAATAGCTAGGATTTTTAGATCCCTCACTCAATTGCGTGTTTGGTTTAGCTTATTTTGGAGAAACAATCACTTATTTTTTGCCAGCTTTCTGAGTGAGCTTTTGAAAAACAAGTCATTATTTCTCTAAAATTAATCCCTACCAAACATGCACCAAGTCCTGCTAGCTGAAGCTTATGTCTCCATTCTTAAAGAAATTTCTTCTATATAATATTCCTTCTATTTTGGTTATTAGGGATCTTCTACTCCCTGTTTTGAGGCTCCCCTAGATTCAAGGTAGTCAAAATTGAGATTTTGCTTAGAAGTGTGGTGGGCCCATAACCCACAGATCACTCAATCAAAACCAGTCTCTAATAGATTTTTTAATTAAGAGAGATATTTTGATTAATAATGTTTTTGAAAATTTGGTTTTTGACCGAGTTCAATGGTGTTGTGTGATTCATGCAGTGGACCTCACCTAGTGAGTGGGATAAGGCTTTGTTGTTTTTGTATTTTATTAGGTTATACATAATTCATAAAATAAGTCAAAAGTTAAATTAATAAGTTAAAACAGCCAAAACCACAAAGACAGAATGAGACAAATAGCAGCAACACTATCACACAGTTTGTAGAATAAAGCTTCACAAGTCACAGAATGAAGCTTCGCAGGTCACAGCTCACAAGAGACCAGAATGGGATTTTAGGCATCGATACTCAATGGGAGTGAATGAGTGAGCAGTGGGTAGGAGAATTAAAGCAGTTGGCAGCAGAGATGAGGGCTTTCTGTGTGTGTTTTGTGTTCTGATTGGTCCTATTTGATTTTATGCTTCACGTGCTTGTTTAACAAATCGGGTCACCCAAACTGGTCACCGGTTTAATAGTTTAAAATTGAAAATTTCAGGCATGGCAGGATTGAACATTTCCACTTAGTTTATGATCTTGCATGACGATCCTGCAAAGAGTTGATTTTGCATGCAATTCAGCATGGTAAGGCATGTGAAGATCGTAGAATCAAACTTCTTCGAGCCAACAGGCAATTTTAATTACCATGTCTAGATTAGTGTATGACCCTTCCTATTTATTCAAAATCCAATACAGTTTTCCTCTAAAATCTACATTAATAACTCCAGGCATGATGACATCAAAATCCCTAGTTCCTTGATGGTTGATGCATGTTGGGTCCTTGATGGCTAACGGAAAATAGTGATATCGGTTCAAATGTGTTTTAGATTAAATTTTATTCAAAGTGTTGAAGTTGCACATCAACCATAGAGTATATATATGGCTAAATAAGAGCTTATCAAGGCTAAAACAATTCTCACCTTATGAGCTAGCTTTTGGGTTGAGTTAGGCTTAAAGTGAAAATTCAATAGAAAGATTGGAAAAAGGTGGGGCACAGGGATATCAAGATGCAGTATGATATTGCTACTGTAGCAAGCAATGGAATAAGAAAATTGAAGATGAGACAAAGTCTGCATTTTAATGTGTTAGAATTTATTAGAATTTTGTAAATATAGTAACTGTATATTTTGTAATTATGTACTCTTCTCTATAAATTGGAATAACTCCGCTGTGCCCTAACACACAAATTTAATATTTTTTCTCTCAACATGGTATCTAAAGCCTAAGGAGAGATAACCCTAATCTGTTTTTTTTTTTCCAGTGGACCCATTGTTCACCGATGCCATTTTTTTTCGGAAACCGTGTTTCATCTCCGGTTTTTGACATTTCACCCTCCTGTTTTGGTGCTGCCGCCACCGTCCGCCACTGTTTCGCCGCTGCCGTCTGACCTCCAATCACTACGGCAACCCCACTGTTGTGGTTGCCTTTGTCAGATCGGCCAAACCCCGCTGACTACGCCTCCATCAGAGTCCTCACGCACCGCCTCTTCTCTGTCGCATTTTCTCACGTGCCGCTCTCTCTCTCCTCTACTTGTATTCGGTCTTGGTTGGTTGTTTGGACATTTATTCAACCTTGTTTTGCCCTTTTCCGCTGCTGTTTGGACATTTTTTTCTCTCTTCTTGCTGACCAATGGCCTCTAGCACTCTAAAAGCTGACACTCAAATTTTTACCAACCATGTCACTGCACCTCTCTTTTCTAAGCAGTTGGATGGTAAGCACTACTCCTCTTGGGCTTCTCAGATTGAACTTTGGCTTGTTGGACAATGTTATGAGATCTATCTCACCCAAACAGCAGACGATGTCTCGACAGCCGACTGTCTTCTGTGGAAAAAGGTTGATGCTCAATTGTGCTGTATCATTCGAGCCACCATTCACCCATCTCTTCGTGATGTCTTTTGCACTCACAAAACCTGCAAAGCTGTTTGGATACAAGCCCAACAACTCTTTACAAACAATTCTTGGCGACTCTACCAAGTTTGTGAAGACCTCATGACTATCCTTAATGCCCATTAGATTAAGGATTCTATGTCAACCTATCTTGGCTCAGTACCTAGCCTTCTCTGAGTTCAATGAATTGGTTTCTCCTGCTGCCACTCCAGATGCGGAACTTGACAATCGCAAGAAGTTTTTCATGTTCTTGGTTCTATACGGTCTGCCCCCAGAATATTCTCCTGTTCGTGATCAGATTCTGGGGAGCCTCACAGAAGCTACAATGGACAGTACCTGGCGACCCTCCTTTGTGTCCCCCCAAAACCTCCTTTGAGCCTTTGCTCCCTACTCATATTGACTCTTCTACTTTGGTTTCTCGCAACACCAACCAACTTCTATAGCGAAAGGGCGACAAAGGATGTCCCTGGTGTGATCATTGCCACCGACCAGGACACATAATTGATAAGTGCTGGACTCTACATGGTTGACCTCCTCGCACTGCCCAGGTGACCCAAAGTTTTGTGTCTCCTTCACCCACTTCTGCTTTGCCATTAGCGTTGGATTCAAATTCATCACCTTCCTACGATGATTTCCTGAAATGGTATGAAGATTGTCAGGCCTTCGGTTCCACTGCTGCTGTTGCACACACTGGTAATTTCTTTGTTGATCTCTCACTCTTCAGGCCCTTGGGTACTTGACTCTGGGGCCACCGATCATATCACTGGTAATATATCCCTTTTTTCTGCTCTTTCTACTTCTGATTATTTATCTTCTGTTACCATGGCAAATGGGTTTCAAACTCAGTCCCAAGGTGTTGGTGTTGTTCATCCTCTTCCTTCTCTTTCTATTAACAATGTCTTTTATGTCCCCGGGACTCTCTTTAATTTATTGTCCATTAGTCAACTTACCCGGTCTCTTGATTGTGTCATCTCTTTTACCAAAAATTCTGTTTCCTTGCAA